ATGTTATTTTTGGACAATGAGGTCACATCTCAGGGGCAGGCCCTCATCATTCTCAGACAGTTTAGATCCAGTTGTCTACACCTGATTAAGGCCGGCGCACTGTGAAATGCCACACAGTTTGGGGTCTGTGAATATTTTGCTGAAGGAATAGCAGCTTTCCGTAATAAACACCAAAGGGTGGGCTGTGTTCTCCAGGCCAAACTGGTATCAGCTCCTGACAGACCAGCTGGCCCTTGTCTGCGTGCTCAGTTTGCAGCTGCAGACAGCGCAGCCTTTGAAGGCCTGCTCAGGAAAGTGCCAGCCCCTCGCTGCTGTGACATTTCACACTTTAAAGCAAGCCTCAGGAAGCTTAGCCCTCACCCAGGGAGGAGATCACACGAGCCTTGACATCAGGACTGCTCTGGACCCTTCTGCTGCAGACAGCTCCACCGCCTGCATTCCCAGTGTTCCTGCACAGCCACACAGCCCTCTCACCCTCCTGTGTGTGAGCTGAAATCCTCGATCTGGCCCTATGCGCTCCTTCAGTAAATGTGTGTTGAACATCTGCAATGCACCCGCCACTGCATGCTGCCTAGAGCATGAACCAAAACCAAGGATCACTGTGCTCACCAGCTTGCATACTGGATGGAGGAAATGGGCAAGCTAAACGACATAGGTAATATCTGCTGCTAACAGGGCGAGAGAGTAAAGAAAGATGTTGGGAGAGCAAAGGTTGAAGAAGGCATCTGAAGATGGATGCAGACATGGAAAAGAGAAGGAGCAAGGAACGTAGAAATGGAAGGCAATGGTTCCAAGCCAAGGAAACAGCAAGTGCAAAGGCCCTGAGTCAGGAACAGCCAGGAGGCTGTGGGACATGAGGGACAGGAACAAGAGGAGACAAGGCCAGAGAAGGTGGTGAGGCCTCAAGACCACTGAAAGGAATTTAGCTGCTTTGAGTCAGAAAGCCCGTGGAGGGCTAAAGGATTTCTTCCTGAGACCTTCCTGAGATCAAGCACATCATGAGAGTCCAAAGTCTTATGAAATCAAAACAAAGAGATTCTTTTCCCTTTTAACTTTCCCGAGCAAGCTTCCTGGCTTTTCTCTGCATAAACACCACCTAGTGTGACTCGTTGCACACACGCACACACACATCAACGCCAAGTCCACAGGCCAGGAAGAAGAGCCACTGCTGACCCTCCCAGACTGCACAGAGCGGGCACATAGGAGAGCTGCAGCTCCTCTGCCTGGAGTTCCTGTCTGTGGGCTGGGTGAGTCCTCCTCCTGGAAGCAGCCTGCTGGGGCGTGTAGCAGCATCCCTGTTCTTGAATCAATCACTGGATGCCAGGGGCACCTTCTCAGCTGTGACCTCAAACTATCTCCAGACATTGCTAAATGTCCCTGAAAGCACAAAACTACCCTCTTGAGAATGATTTGCTGTCTTTGTAGCACGTGGGGACACTGTTGTATGAGAAACAGGATAGGAAGAGAAACAACAGGATTGCTCGGGGTCTATCCCAGGGCCATGCTCTCGTGACTCTGAGATACTCCATGAAGTACAGCAGTAGCCACCCGGGGCGCGAACTGAATCTTAGGCCGTTCTGTGTATCCACATCTAGCCAGTTTTTTACGTAGAACAGTTCCTTGATAAACATCGGCTTACTGATCACTAAATATCACTGTACCAGTGATGGTGAACCTTTCAGAGACCGAGAGCCCAAACTGCAACCCCAAACCCACCTAAGAATCACAAAGTGCCCACACTGCAGTTAAACCCGAATCCTGATGCTCTGCAGCTGGGAAAACTTGGCTCAGACACAACAGAGGGTCTCTGTGTGCCCAGTGCAGCACTCAGGCCTTGGTCTGCCACCACTGAGCTGTACTGGTCCTCTCGGGGTTGGCAATGTCACGCCTCAGCTACCCAACCAGCAGGTGCTTTGAAAAGGCTTAACAGTGTGATTTAAGGTGGGGAAGTCACCTGAAAGGCAAATCTCATGCTAGTTCAAAGCACTCATTACCAACATTAGTCATTTATGCACAGTGATCAAGCCCCAGGGAGGGGCTGTGACGGCTCCACCCCGCCCTGCCCAGCAGAGACGTGGCACCAGGGCACCTCACAGTGAAGGCTGGGCCCTTTGGGCAGCACAGGACACTGCTGCACAGTTCTGTGCATCTCTCCAATGTCCAGAAGAAGGCACATGCAGAGAACTGAATCACATCCATAACAGCGACTCTACAGAAACGGAGTCAGTCTGAGAGAACTCTTCATGAAACGGGTCACATAGTTCCCCGCCTTCCTCACTGGATCATGCGCGAGATGGAATCTTTCACCTCAGTTCCAATATGGACATGCATCAGCTTCGAGGACTGCAGAGTGAAGGAGGGTTCAGGCCCACGCCAGTGTCTGCCTGGACCTAGCACGAAGAAATAGCTGTTCCCTTCCAGGTAGAGGCCCCCTCTTATTTAGCATCTTCTTGGTGGGTCGAGACTGCATTATAAATATGGTCCTCCAGCTCCGTAAAGGACACCTCCATCATTTCACGGGTGTGGTCCAAGTCCTTAGTCTTCCTGCATCTTCTCCTACTCTTACGTGTCACAACCCAACTGTCAGCCAATGACTACCATCCGTAGTTAGCACTGCAGCCTGGTCTGGAACGCGGGATGTTTTCATCTCCACAACTTCCTTCTACAACTCCTCCTACTGCTGTTCTCGGAACTGCAAGGAGCCCACGCTGGGGCCAGCTCCTTCACGCTCTGTCACCTGGTCACGGGACAAAGCCTTCACTCTCTTCATGCGGCTAACGAGGCCTTCCCTGGCTTCCCTGTTTACAGCTGCAGCCCCACATCCTTTGCTTCTCCCTGCCCCTTCCCCTGGCTTGCACAGGCCCCTTGTGGCCACTGACCTTTTGTGCATGTGCATTACCTGTTTATTAGACATAGCTTTCTCTGAGGGTCTGTACCAATTCTGCCCATTGGTAGAGCCCTCCGCCGTCCAGATCAGTGCTGGCACATAGGAATTGCTTAGTAAACATCTATGAAGTGAAAGACTAGATAAATAAATGAATGACAAAGGTTACCCAGGGCTTCAGGAGTTGTTGGAGCTTTAGGAGCCTTTGTTCCTGCTCTAAACGACAGCATGCAACAGTGCATGGGGAAATGAGCCAGCCTAGAGCTGCACTGCCCCATGTGAGTCACTAGGCACGAAGTAGACTTATGTCTAAGATAATTACAGAGAATTAGCTGCACTTCCAGGGCTCAGTAGCCACGTGTGGCTGGCCACGGCCATTCTGTCCACCCGAAGCAGCCACGGAACCTAATGTGCTGACCTGAAGAAGCTAAACATGCTCATCCAGCCCAGGGAGGACTCTGGCCGACAGCTGCCTCCTACAGTGGGCGTCAGTGACAGGTTCTGACTCTGCTCTTTCCTTCGGAGTCTGTGACATCTTGCTGCTGTTCTGCAGCAGTGGTGCACTGGGGAATGGCCTATCAGTGAGGGAGCACCACACTCCTGCCTTCCTCACATAAGAGTGGCCTCCCCCCGCCACACAACTGTCAGAAACACCCTCAGGGTGGGGAGCAGGAGCCCAGGAGAATGCTGCAGTCAGTGTGGCCTCCATGCTGTCACAAGGACCCTCTATGATGCCACGCCCCTGAATGGATATTTAAAAACCACTTTGGATTTTATGCAACTTTCAGATAAACAGCCTTTACGACTGGTCAGTGTGGGTATGCTCCCTTTAAGCCACATTCTAGCACCCGCCACCCGGAGTAAAGGGGACTCCTCCCCCACACTGGCTGCTAGGTAGTGTGATGAGATGCCATCCCGGCTGCTCCTTCACAGGATACCTTGTGCACAGGTACGTGTGGTGCTGTCTGAGTCTCTCAAAAGGTGGGCTCAGCGGCTTGGGAGCAGGCATGGCCTGCCACTCCCCAGCACTGTGGACCCAGCTCCTCTGCGCTTTCTAGTTTTGGGATGCAAAATGGGGATGATCGCGCCACCCATCTGAGGAGCACTGAGGACTGAGCGCCCCGAGATGTACAAAGCATGAAGAATGGCGCAGGCGAGTTGTGAGTCACTGAAGGATGGCGGGCAGTGTGCCGGCAGTAGGAGACGGCGCGCTCACGAGCCGTATGAGACCGGGCCCCTATTCTAGGGCACAGCTGGTGCATAGATGTCATCAGTGAGCTCGTTGTGCCTCCCTGTGCACACACGGCGTGGGCCACCAAGGTGGGAGGCGGCAGAACTCAGAGCCTGTGGTTCACACTGGCCTGAGCTCCAACCCCAGCTCTATTTTTCATTTTTCTACGAAGGGTGAACAAATTAGTCAGCCTCACTTTGCTGCCTTGCAAAGTAGTGCCTGTTTTCCTAGTGCTGCTGTAAAGATGAAATAAAATATCCTATTCAGCTTTTCAGATCGGTGGTGAGGAACTGTTCAAGAGAAAGCAGCTATGATGATTCATCCTTTTGGGTGAGATGCGGTCCTGGAATCCATCACAGGACTTCGTAGACTCCACGGCAGAGGCCTCCGGGGTCGTTTTCCCCACACTCCTTTCTTTAGAGATGAGATGAGGCAGAGACGAGAAGTCACTGCCCACGCCTGCTTCCCCACCTGCGCTCAGGCAGAGCTGGGACGGGAAGGAAGTTCTGTGCGCTGGCCGGGCTCCCTGTCCAGCAGCACTTCGGGAGGCCCCTGCACCCGGAGGCAGCGCCCCGCCCCGGGCTCCTTCCCTCGGTCTCCCTTCCCCTCACCTTCCCCGTGCTCCACGGCATCGCTTTCAGCTGCGCGAATCGCTCTCAGCTGCTCGGCTCTCGGTCCGCCTGTGGGGTACAGCCCGAGACACCCAGAGGTGGAAGGAACGCGGCTATGGGAGCTACCAGCCTGACAACCTCGGAAGGCTTTACAGTGTCCGGGTCACACGGGGGGCCCACGGCAGAGCCGCTGGCATCGACACGGCCTGTGAACAGCCCCGTAACACAGCACGGCCTCTCCCCACCAACCACCCTCACGCCTTCTCCCCCGTACCGTGCCGTGTTTTCCTCCTCCCTCAAACCTGCCTTCTCCTGTATCCTCTTCGAAAAGACTTCCCCGCCCGGAGAAGCCAGCTGCTCCTCTGCCTTCTCCAGCACCAGTGGGGAGGGAAACCACTCAGCTGATTCCGAGCTCGAGCCGAGAGCCAGGCACGCGGGGGCAACTCGAGGCTTCCGGGCTGGTGCCGGATGGGACGGACCGTTCGGCCTCAGCGAGCCCGTCTCCTCACCCGCTAAGGGGGTGAGAGACACCTGCTCTGAGAATGTTGTGTGGACTGCACACCAGTGTCTGCCACACACATGCGGGCGCGGGGGAGAGTCTGACCAGCAGCGGCGGCGGCGGGGACACTCCGCAGTCACTGGTTTCCCACAGCTCCTCCCTGGGCTGCCAGCTCTCTTCGGCTGAGGGCTGTCCAAGCAAGCTTCCCCTTGCATCTCCAGACTCCGCACCACTGAGGGAGGAAATTCGGTCTTCTGAGAAAACCGTGTGCTCGCTAACCCTGAGGAAAGCACAAGGGAAAAGGTACTGGGATGACCTTTAAGTGGCTTCCAATTTAAATTTATCTGTGGGTTGCTAAGGATCTTGAGTAAATGATGTCCTATTCTCAGTTGTCTTTGCAACCAGAATATGTCAGACTCACAGCAGAAACAGAATGGGGAAATGAACAGCGAGATATTTGTTTCAAACTATGACCACCGTGGTCTAAATGCCCCTAATTGGTGTTCAGAAAAGTGATTATTTATCTTTCTACAGGCGTGCATCTCATACAGTGAGCGTGGCACAGGGAACCCAACAGACAACTCTAAGCATGTGCTCGCCACTGTGACACACGAGCCCCACTGTCCACGATGACCCGGCAGTGACGGATACCTGAGCAGGCAGGCAGGCTTACGTAGGTGTCTGGGAGCTGCCCCATCCGCGGCGGAGGAGCCAGGCTTCTCTGGGAGTCCTCTCTGCTGGACATCACTGGCAGGAAACACAGCTGGAGGGCTGTGTGGGGAGACCCCTGGCCCAGGGCCAGGGTGACGCCTGTGACTCCGCCCACGTTCCCTGGACTAGAGCACTTGCTGATGGCCTCGGCTCCTCCAGGGGAGGAAGAGAAATGCAGGTGGGGGCACAGTCTCTTCCACAGGGGCCCTGATTTCCATTCAGGAGCTTGACTCATTGATCCATTTACAAGCTGGCTATGGTAAAGTAACCCAAGTCCCCTGAGTCAGAATGAGAGGCCCGAGTTGTCTTTACAACGTGGCTGAGGCACTGCTGAGCCTCCTGTGACATAGCATATGTCCCAGAGAGCATTGGGTGAGCGCCAGTGTGCATCTCGGCAGAGGACTGGAGGGCTAGGCTCCAGGCCCAGGCGGCAGTGTTCAGGTGGAAAAACCCGCGATAGCAGTCCTCTGATGTTACTTCCAACTCTATTTCAACAGTGCTTTGTAAAGAATGCAGCAGTTCTGTTTCCTGACTGGACAGAGTGGAAGCCATAGGCATTCACCCAGCATGGTCTGTCTTCTGGATTTCTCTGCTGGCAAACTGAAGGCCACCAGAACCTCCTAAGGTGAGGGCAAAACCAGGCCCTAAGGACTTTCTTCAAGAACTTGGATTGCGATGTCCAAAAGCAGCAAATATCCAAACTTCCCTAAACCAATAGATTTTCTAAACACGTTTACTGCCTTGAAATGGAATTCTGTCTTTAGCAACGAAAAGGACTAATACCAATTCTTTGGTTAACTCCTCCTCCTCCTCTTGTTTTTGTGGTTCTGAGGATTGAAACCAGAGTGTTTGTTTGCACTGAGCTACATCCTCAGCTTTTTTTAAATAAAAATTTTTAAATTTTTGAGACAGGGTCTCACTAAGTTACTGATTTGCCCAGGCTGGACTTCAGCTTGTAGTCTTCCGACCTCAGCCCCCAGAGTGCTGGGATGGCAGGTGCGCACCAGCTACAGGCCCTAGAGTGCTGTACGTCTCTCTTCTTTTCCTCCTTGTATTTTCCTTCCCGCTCTTCCCACTCCTTATGCTGCGGCCACATGAACAGTGAGGGACAGTCTGCATTTCTGGAGACTTGCATGCTTTGCCACCCTTGCAGAGACTCTACTGTTCTTCCTGGAAGCTGACTCCATCCTCCTGTCCCCGTGGGACACTGTGCCTGACACTGTCAGACTTATTTCCTCCTCTCTCTGTGCCCTCAGTTATATATGCACCTCTCTGCTTACACCTGGCTTGGCGAGTTGGATGGCCTGCTCTTTTCTCTGTCCTCTGGAGAGTCCCAGCCTGTAGTGAGGAGTGATGTTTGCCCCATCTCCGGAGAGCCAGACACGGCAGACACATGGAGTTTTGCTGAACAGGTTTGTACAGGACAGGTCTAAGCTTGGCCAGGCGTTCTGATGTGCCCTGTCGCCCCAGCAACTCGGGAGACAAGGCAGGAGGATGAGCTCCAGAGTTTGACACCGGCCTAGACAACACAGTAAAATCCTGCTTCGGAGATCATTTCTAAGGCTGTTACTGCAAGGGCAACAACAGCTCTGGAATCCCACGCCTGCTGTGTGGTCTGACACCTTGCCCTGCCTCTTGGGCCTCACTTTCCTCTTCTGCCCCACAGGGATGGACGTGCAAACTTCTGCTTCATTGGGAAGCCCAGTATGTGAGAGTTAAAGTCACTTCTGTGTAGCCCTTGCCCCACTGCCTTTGAAAACCTTGAATAATTACTAGCTACCACGATTCTCCATCATCATCCACTTACACTCTGTCCAGAGGCATCTGGCCCTCAGCAAAGAGTCACCTGATTGCAGGGAAGCAGGCCTGAAGCCTGGGTGGGAAGTGACTTCACCCCACATGGCTGGCGCTGTGTGCTCTGAGGGCTGAGTGTCCACCGCTGCGAGGCTTGGGGCCAGAGCGCCTCCAGTCTGCACAGCTGGTGAGGATGGAAACCTGGCCTGAATCCCCTGCATTAGCCTGGCACAAAGTCCTGCTGGCCTCCGTCTCCTTCTCTGTGAATGGGCACAGTTATTGTATATGGTTCCCAGGACCCCGTGATTTAGAAGTGAAACATTTTATTGTTGTGCAACTTGGTAAATTTTAAAGCTCAATAGGGACACAAGGGCTGCTGTTTTTCACTCTAAATCCAGAGGCCAGGATGAAGGTCTGAGACAACTTAAATGTGCATGCCGCAGGCCTCTGTTGCTATAAGCAAATACCAGAGACTGCATGATTTATAAATAAAAGAGGATTTCTAGGATCCAAAGCTGGATGTGAGCACCTGTTGGCTTCTGGTGAGTCCCCATGTTGGATGGCCTCTCTTGGTGTCCTCACAGTCTGCTCTTACAGAGACCAATCCAGCCCAGAATACCTGGCTCACTCCTAGGACATGATCCCTGTCTCTCAAGAAAGACCTAAATACCTTCGTAAGGGTGTAGTCCCATGACCTAATTATCTCAAAAAGTCCTTACCACCTCTCACACGGTTACACAGGGAATCAGATTTTGATGTGAGTTTTGGGAAGACAAACCACTTCCAGGACAAAGCAACATGCAAGACCTCAGTGCTCAGAGAATTAGGCTAGAAACTTGGTCAATCACCCAAATAAAGCCATATTAGGCCACATGGTTGTTGAGAACCAAGCGAGTGTTCTCACCTTGGACCCTTCACCAGGGAGTTCCAGAGTCCCACTGAGCGGGGTGTGGCCCACAGTCACACCTGCAAGCAGGGGAGAGTATGTAGTGTTTATATGGAATCATGGCACTAGGCTCAGGCCTCTAGAGAAGAAATATTCCATAGGTGAGATCTTCAGTAAGACAATACAAATGGCCCTAATGTGTCAGACGTTTTATTAGGCGCTAAACAGATTCTATTCTGAGTCTCCGTGATCTCTCAAATGGTAGGTGGTATAAATTGCATGTGAAAATGGAGGTCAATGAAGCCCAGAGAGGTCTGTGGTCTCCCGTGGGTCTCAGAGCATGTGAGAAGTAGAATCCAATTTAAACCAAGGCCTCGTCCCAAAGGGTGTCTTCTTTCCCTTCCATGACCTCTAGCCTCTTGGTCAATGTTCACTGCTTTCTTGAACCCTAATTGCCCTAGTCAGTTTCTTCTGGGCTTGGATGATTTAAATTTGCAGCCAACACAACTATTGCTCCAATGTAACTTCAGGAGCTCGCTGGCTTTGCTCAGGCTGCAGAGCTCAGAGGGATTATGGAACAAGTACAATGAGGCTGTCTCCTCAGACATAATTTGCATTTGTGCAAGGCTGGAACCCGGCTCATCTGCAGGCTGTCTCCCAGCGAGATCCAAGAAAGGTCAAGGCTGACAGGAAATCCCACACGAGAAACTAAAGTGCTCAGCTGCACATGAAGAGGGCAGCCAAGAAATTGTTTCATTATGAAACAGGCTTCAGGGCAGTGAGAAGCACACGCAGAGAGGCAGGGCCGCGGCTAAAGTCCAGGACCTCCCCCCAGGAATGGAGACACTCTAGTTTGCAGGGTTGGTATGTCCAGCTGGGGGCTCCCTCCAACCACCAGCCACCACCCACCAGGACTGTCTGGTGGTGATGACAGCTGTCGATTCAGCACGACAGCGAGAGGTGTGCAGTGTGAGTGGGCAGGGAGCAGGGGTGAAGAGTAAAATTTGCACAAAAGGGCAAAGCCCAAAGCTAAACGTTCCATAATAAAATATACACATTCCAAGTCTTTGAAAAATAACATCCAAAGTCATTTAAGGTACAGAAAAGTCAAGAAGGCAAAAAAAAAAATAAATAAATAACTTTTAAAAAGGCTTCTGCAAGAACAAAGGACATTCACAATTTTATGTGGACAAAAAAAAAAGTAGGAATTCATGCTGTCTTTAAATTGGGATAATCATTTCAAGGCTTCCACTGCTATTGCCAAGTTGGTGCTGAAGGAAAGAAGACTTTGTCTGTGAAAGAAAAGCTAGAGAGAACTCAAGGTTAAGCAAGCAATGGACCCAACGCTGACCGTGGGGCTGCTGAGAGACCAGTTTGTGCGCGGGGGCAGTGGCCCGGGCCTTGCGCTGCCCTGGATCAGCCATTCTGGGCGAGGATGAGATGTCAGAGGTGCAGGGAACACGGGTTTGTCAAGGGGGCCAGAGGACCTGGGTCTTAATGGACCCAGAATTTCCACGTGGGAGTAGAGAGTGGGGAGACTGTGGGAAACTGAAGGAGAAATGGATAGGAACTGAGTAGGAAAATGATCTTAAATGACATTCGTAAAGCAAGCACAAAGCTCTTCCTGGGCCACTGCGCTTGCATGCAGCAGCTGAAAGGAAGACAGGCAGGGCGACTTTCTTCAATCAGCCTGTTCAATGCGCCGGTTCTGTGGTCTCCCCAAAGCCCAGGGGGTCCCAGCATCTCCCGAAGGCCTGCTGTGTGCTGCACCTTGCCCTAGATGGAGGAACCAGGGAAGCAGACAAAGCTCCAGCCTCCCAGAGACTATATTCAAGTGGGGGATACGAGAGAAGGGCCAGAAACTTGTTCCAGGGAGTCCTGAATGGGACATGGACTGGGGA